GGTAAGAGCCGCGACCCACGGAGACCGCATATCCCAGCTACAACACCTTTTGCCAAGTCAACGCCCGATCAGAAGTACGTCATGGAGCAAATTGAAGGCAGTGATATGAGGGACGAGGATCCTAGAGAGGCGCTGCTCAAGTATGCGCTGAAGGAGGGAGAGAAGGCTGTCTTTACCGGCGCGTGGGAGAAGACCCAGCCAGTTGGTATCTACAAAGACTACGACAGTGAGGAGGACGAGAAGGAGAAGAAGAAGGCAAAGCGGTAACCGAGCCGGGGCTGAATACCGACTTGGGATCCCTACAAGGGATGTTTGTATCATAGCGAAATATACCCAAAAGCACAGAGGCTATGGACTAGTCAAGCTACCAATCAATCCATACAATGATCACGGGTAAAACTCCTAAGACACCAGATGCGGATGAAGACTTGGGCACCATGGGCGCACGTGTCAGCGCCCCTTATCATCCGACCTTGGTTCCTTCGAAGCTACTCAGGCAGGGCTACACTAGCGTAGCCGCGTCGCGCCCCATAAGCAAACGCAAACAACCCCACTCGCCTCGCATCACGACAACCTCCAGCCCACAACCGCCAATTCGACCGCCACTCCCTCTGCAACCCACCAATTCCGCGCCAAAACCGCCGCGACAATGTTCTCTTCCACCTTCCGCGCTGCGGCCCGCGCGCCCACCTCGACCTTCGCACGCAGCTTCTCGTCCACCCGCCCCTCGCAGGTCGCGCGCATGACCGTCATCGGCCGTCTCGGAGTTGCGCCAGAAGAAGTCACCGTCTCTGGCGATAGGACGCTTGTGCGCTATGTAGTAGGAACGAGCTACGGCAAGGGCGAGGACAAGAAGACCAGCTGGTTCCGGATCGCGAGTTTCGTGCAGGGCGCGCAGAAGGACTTCCTGATGAACGTGCCCAAGGGTTCGATGCTCTATGTTGATGCGGATGCGCGCATGGAGACGTACCTTGACAGCGAGGGCAACAAGAAGAGCAATTTGAGCTTGGTTGCACGTATGTTTTCGGATGCGGGTGGATGAGAGAGGTCATGCTAATTTATTTGTGCAGGCAACTTTGATGTCTTGTCTCGTGCTCGTACTGAGGATACGGAGAATAACGACGAGGGCCTTGTTCAGGAAGCTTCCGGTTAGATGGGCAGTTTTGCTTGCCCGTCCATCTTGCTTCGAACATAATATCCCGTGGCGGCAGATTCTACAAAAGCTCGAGTGGCAAGTGTTGGTCGCGGGGTAGAGAAGTTTCGACAAGACACGTCTTTGCGCGGCGCTGTAGGATCTTCTTATGGAGTTTCTCTTTACGATATTCAAATGTACGACTATGGGCTCACAATTCACTTTGTAAGATCTCTACTCTAGGAGTGGCGTGGCTTGGAATTTTACGGAATGATACCTTTTTCTTCATGATACATGAATGATACAGCCACTAACAACGCAATTACGGGAGAAATTCTAGCAGCAAAGAGGCACAAACTACGCACTCATCAGTCGAGCAGCTTGGTATATCTATGGCATCTCGTCAGACTACCCACTTGCGCACGGACGTGATGCGGCGAACGAAGACCTCCGAGTTGGCCCATCTCAACTTTTTGTGGCGCGACATCCGGACCCCAACACAGCACTTCACATAATGCACAGAGTCGTGCCGCTACCAGCGCGTCAGCTCTGGGGCCACGCGCCTCGAGTACGGTCGGTCAATCGCTTCAGTCGTCGCCCACGCACATTCGCGACGGTGTCTGGCGCAGACCGGTACGCCACTCTAATATCAGACCCCACCAATGGACCAACACTGACTCTTATATAGGCCCTACGATGTAGTAGTCATTGGCGGCGGCCACGCAGGCTGCGAAGCCTCGGCAGCAGCAGCCCGCTCCGGCGCCCGAACGGCCCTCATAACGCCCTCAGTCCACAACCTCGGTGTCTGCTCGTGTAACCCTTCCTTCGGCGGTATCGGAAAAGGCACTATGCTTCGCGAAATCGATGCGCTGGATGGTGTTGTGGGTCGCATTGTGGATAAGGCGGGTGTGCAGTTCAGGGTGCTGAACAGGAAGAAGGGACCTGCTGTGTGGGGACCCAGGGCGCAGATCGATAGGGCGCTGTATAAGAGATATATGAAGGATGAAATGCTGGCATACAAGGGGTTGAGCGTTGTGGAAGGTAGCGTGGCGGATATCATCGTGGACAGGACACAAGAGGAGGGATCCAAGGGCCAATATGGAAAGATTACTGGTGTAAGGTTGGAGAGTGGGGAGATAATACCCACAGGAAACGTGGTCATCACGACTGGCACGTTCCTTGGTGGAGAAATACACATTGGCCTTGAGTCTTTCCCATCCGGGCGCATGGGTGAAGCTGCGACCTTTGGACTGAGCAAAAGTTTGAAGGATGCCGGATTCACAATGGGAAGGTTGAAGACAGGGACACCGCCACGGTTGGACGGGAAGACGATCGACTACAAAGTTTTGGAAGCGCAGGAGGGCGATAACCCGCCCATGCCTTTTAGCTATATGAACGAACGCGTGCAGGTCGAGGACCAATTACTGAATCACGAGACACGAACGAACGAATCGACGCACGACGTTATAAGAGACAACCTCGATAAATCAATACACATCCGCGAAACTGTCAAAGGGCCGCGGTACTGCCCGTCACTAGAATCGAAAGTGATACGGTTCGCAGACAAGACATCACACATCGTCTGGTTGGAACCGGAAGGTTTCGATAGCGACATAATATACCCGAACGGAATCTCCTGTACGGTTCCCGCAGACGTACAAAACACCATGCTCAAGACCATTAAGGGGCTTGAGAACGTGAAGATGCTGCAACCTGGCTACGGTGTGGAATACGACTACGTTGATCCACGGCATCTTCGCTCTACGCTTGAGACAAAGAATATCTCGGGTCTCTTCCTAGCTGGCCAGATCAACGGAACAACTGGCTACGAAGAAGCAGCAGGTCAGGGTGTAATTGCTGGCATCAACGCTGGCCTGAAGAGCCTAGGGAAAGAAGCCATGGTTTTGACGAGAGCGGATGGATACATCGGTATCATGATCGACGACCTCATCACGAAGGGTGTCTCAGAACCCTACCGCATGTTCACCTCTCGCTCCGAATACCGCATGTCAGCGCGTGCCGATAACGCCGACACACGTCTCACCGCCATGGGCCGCCTCGCCGGCGTAGTTGGCGATATACGATGGAAGGCCTTCGAAGACGAAGCCGAACAAATGGCCGCTCTAGCCCAAATCCTCCAATCCAAAACCATGGGCTGGACAGACTGGAACAAGGAAGGTTTTCCTGTGCGAAATGACAGCACCAAACGATCCGCATACGACCTCCTCCGCCTCCCCAACACCACCCCATCCAGCCTCACCACCCTCCTCCCCGAAATAAAAGCCTTCTCACAACGCATCCAAGACCGCGTTCACATCGAAGCCACCTACGCCCCCTACGTCGCTTCCCAAACCGCCACACAAGCCCGGTGGCTCAAAGACGAGAACCTCAAGCTACCAGTTGATCTTGACTACGAATCCATCTTTGGGCTTAGCTTCGAGGAGAAGAGGGCGTTGGAGGTAGCGCGGCCGGAGAGCGTGGGTATGGCGAGACGAGTGGAAGGTGTCACGCCGACGGGTGCGTTGAGGTTGTTGCAGTTTGTGAGGGGAGTGGGTAAGGAAGAGAGGCAGGCGAGGATGAAGGAGGAGATTGAGGCGAGGAAGGAGAAGTATAGGGGTGTGGCGCAGGGGGTTAGTGTTGAGGGGTTGTAAGGAGTGGGTGGTTGTGGTGGAGTGTAGGTTTGTAAGATATGGCATTGGGCGGCGTTGGAAATCCTCAGACGCGATGATAAAGTCTTAAACTTGTTTCAAATGGTGATGGTCAACAGACGGCCTAGAAAGTCAATCGCAATCATCCCGTATACCAAGGTACAACTTCAATGACCAGCCCGAACCAGGTCAGGTCCGATTCTGAGTCAAATGCGCATCCTCTCTTGCGTGGAAATCTAAACTTGCAGTCAACCGAACGTCGGGGTCGCTGCTGCCTTCCAGGACTGTGCCCCGCTGTCAGATGACGTCGGTTCGCGAACGCGACTGCTAATCTGAATATCACATGATGCATGCCGTGCCACCTGGGCACTCACTTCCAATAGCGTTTCGAAATGGTGTTTCTTCCTGCTTCCTGCAACCGCCCCATTCCACAACCTGGATCTTCCGTCTTCCTCTTCGACAACGAGATCGTCGATTTCTGCAGAGTACGCATTGGAGTGAGTTGCGCTTACATATCGATTGGCATTATCATTGGACGTGAAGATGGAGAAGAAACGGAATGGTACGTCTTTCTTTTGTCGTTTTCCGGAGGTGCATTTGTCTGCTACAATCTTCGTCGCGGTGGGGGGCTGGATTGTGGCTGCGCACCGAGAGGTGCTACGCCGCTGTCAGCTTGGGTCACTCTGCCGCTGGTGTTGAGCCCAGTCTGCGCTTTACTTGGACCCTATTACGCATGCGCTCAGAACGACTCCATCCCACCGGGCTACGCCGCCATCAGTTTGGGTGACTGCGCCTTTGGGATTGACTTGAGTCTGCACCTTACTTGGATCGGATTATGCAGTCGTTCCTGTATCCAGGACAAAACCGCCCCGGCATGCTACGCCTCCATCACCTTGGGTGACTGTGCCTTCGGGTTCGAGTCGAGGTTATTCCTTGACGCGGGTCAGATTACGCAGTCTTGTTTCTGTGCCAAAGAGGGGGCGGTCTCATTTTGAGTGCCTCTGAAGACACGCGCGGATGAGTATACGTGTTGAGAAAGACGTTGGGTATAAGAGGATGCATTCAGAAGCCAATTTGGATCCCAACATCTTCAAGGCTGTCTCGTTCTTCATCCTATTTCTTAGCTGATTCACAGTCATCTTGTATCGCTTTCCAAACTCCTTATTACAGCCATGAGACTCAACTTAGCAGTGCTTCTCTTCGTTCGGCTGGCGTCGTCGATGTTGTCTGCTAACCTCAACGCCGCAGAATCCCTGGAGCAAGTCAACAGCGAAGGAGCACCACAGAAGGATGTAAGCCCGCCAGTCGATCAACACACTGCCACCTTCGAGCCTAGAGACGTGGCGCTCGGATCTACCACCGTTGAAGTGCAGCAGGATGTTTCGTCTGAAACCCGAATCTACACAGTCTGGGCAAGCGATGTCCACAATGAAGCCCAGGTCAACGAAACGCGCACTTGGCTCAAGGGCCTTGTCAAAGACAAAGACAAGATGCGTGATGAGCTAGGATGGAACTGGGACACTGTCGAAGACCTTCCTGCAGATGAGGTAAGCCATGGATGTACGAAAGGCATGGGAGATTTACTGACTTCTTATCTTTTCCCTCTGTAGTTTGACAAGCTGTACGACGAAGGTAGGCTTGACGAGGAGCTCGATAATTTCGAAGTGGTCCGCGCATGGTCAGGTGTGATTTTGGACCAGGCTGGATACGAGAAGGTCGCAGCCAAAACGGAATGGTAAGTTATGGCTATACAAAGTGCATGAAGATATATGCTAACTTCATACCTCTGTAGGATAGAGGCAATTAGAGCTAACCTACACACTTCGGACATGAACGCACGTGCACTCCCGACAAAGACATATACCGTCTACGCAGCCGACATCAGGAACGAGGCCCAAGTCAACGAAACTCGGGTTTGGCTTGAAGGTTTGACCAAGGACAAGTCTAAGATGCGCGAGGAGAAGAGGTTTCCCTGGGATGAGCCCGAAGACATACCAGAAGACGAACTCGACAGATTGTACGACGAGGGCAGGCTCGACGCTGAGCTTGACAATTACGAAGTAGTTCACGCGTGGGGAGGCGTTATACTAGACCAGTCAGGGTACGATGAGGTGGTGGCCAAGAAGGAATGGGTGGAGCATGTCGAGGATCCGAGTCAATACCACGAAGTGAAGATGATTGCTGTCCCCAGAATGAGTATCAAGACCACGGGAACTCTGGAAGCTCGGAAATTCGAATGGGGAGATTGGCAGAAGCAGGAGGGTGCAGCGCGGGACTTGGTCCAAGCCAGCTGTTACGAGTAAGTAAAGGTCTGAATGCTGTATCTTGACTGGGCTAACATGTCAACCCAAGGGGAAGCAATTTGGACGAATTGTAAGAACCCACTACGGTACTTGAAGCCCTAAAAAGGCCGGAACTAATCTGTTACAAACAGCAAGGACTACGTTTACGAGAAGAGAGCTGGAGAGGGAGTACATGTGTATGTTTTGGATGATGGAGTACAGGTAGATGTCAAAAAGGTAATGACTTACCTCACATACGTTGGTGACATCGCTCTAACCCGACTCCAGGAAAACGGCGAAAAAGTGTTTCCAGGTTTCGACAACGAGCAGGACAATAGCGGTATCGTAGAAACAAGAGCTTTCACCAACCAAAATGCTGCGCACAACATTCGATACGACCATTCCCCCAAAGGCCACGGAACGAAAGTAGCGTCCAAAATCGTTGGGCAGTGGGGAACCGCAAAGGGAGCGACACTGGTGCCGGTGCAGGTCAAACCGGGCGGAGACGATATTGACAACGGGTTCGAAAGGATTTTTGCAGATGTAAGCAGGCGGCGCAGGAAAATACCAGGGTTCCAAGCTGTAAGTACGACCAACAACCGACGCCATCGACGCATGTTTACTGTTCTGGACTAAGCTTATTGGGTATACTAACGTCGCGTGACTTTCAGGTTGTCGTTATGAGCAGCGGCACGGAACGCGGTGTCGCAGACAATGGTCACAAGGGCTACACACGAGAAGAAGCAGAGAACGATTACAGAGCAAAGCGACAGATACTCTGGATAAAGCAATTATTCAGTTACGGGGTCCCCGTGGTGCTCGCTTCTGGTAATGAAGCCGAAACTGAAGGCCGAAAAGTCATCGACCAATTCCCCCAGGTCTTGGAGACAGATGACTTTCCCATTATCAACGTCGGGGCTGCCACGCTTGCAGGCAAAGCTGCACCTTTCTCGCAAGGCCTGGGTACCCAGCAAGATCCAGAGAAGCGCACGCAGTTGACCATCTACGGTGTTGGAGTGGATGTCGACGTCCACGATCAATATGACGGTGCAGCAACGCAGGACTCGGGTACGTCGTTCGCTGCACCGGCGGTGGCAGGCATTATTGCTACACACATGAACTACGAATCGTGGGACCAGAGCAAGCAAGGGCCCGACCGAGTGAAAGAAATCAAGAGATGGATAACCACGCCTGAGTCGAGCTGGGAGCGTGCCAAAGATCCCGACAAGCAAGTCAACATGGTAAGAACGATGGCAACACAACCTGAATTTAGTAAGGAAGCTGACAATCCAAACAGATCTGGAACGGCGCCGACAAAGCAGCCCACGACAGCGTCTCCAACAACCAATCGCCCAGCCCACCCTCTCAAGCACCAAAGCGCACCTTCACCGTCGGCCTCGAACAAACCACGACCCCAGAATGCTCCAGCGTCATCTCTAACCCCGACTTCCCCCCACATGACAGCTGCAAATTCAAATACCAGAACCGATACTTCTTCTACCGTCGCGACGACGACAACCAAGAACCCAACAGCCTGTGCACTTCTCTACTCAACGACTTTCACCAAGACGACCAAGGCGCGACGACTGATGAGAATCTATTCGAGCATCCGACGTGGCCAGCGGGAGAGTGGACGCTGGATCTCTTCGGAGAGGAATATGTCTATAGGAATGATGGGCAGAGTCCGGGAGCGCTGTTCATGGGCGAGCAGCAGATTAGTTGCGCCGGTGACCTGGAAAACCATGGTAAGTCTAAGATTCCGGAGTGGCTGTGCGCTTTGACTCTTTGCTAACGAGTATCGTAGATCCTTTGTCGGATGAGCTGTGTGAGAACAGTCTGACTAAGGAATCAGGCCGTGAGAGGAAAAGGAGACGGCTGGTTGGTTGCACGTGGTGAGTGCATGTGTGGTCGTGGCAGCGACATGGGTACCTCTTTCTGCCATTTGATTCTTTTTTGCTCTATGTAGGCTTTCGGGATGTTTTTGTTTCTACGATCTTTTTGTCTCCGATGCTATATGTACAGCCACCTCAGATGCCAGGCGCATCTTCCGCTCACTCCTGCTGCGACATGTGTGTCGGGAAGTTGTAATCCGTATAATCGATATGTACAAACGCGCGATCAACGTACGGCACACTCTCTGCATGTCTGTTAGTTTACGAATCCATGAAAAGATCGAGAAGAACGACTTACCAAGCACATACTGCAGACTCTCACCCAAGTCATGGCTATCCCTCAAACTGAGATTCTCATCCACCACAATATCCACCTCGACATTCAGCTTATCACCCGCGTGGTAAGCCTGCAGACCCTGAATCCTCTTGATAGACTTTGCAAAGCGCATCGTCATGTAGAGGAGGATGTTGCGCTCATCTGCCGTGGCACTCGCACCAGTCAGGTTGCGAATGTGCTCAGCGGAGGTAGCACTCCAGTTGATGATAACATAAGCGGAGAGCAAGATACCGCCCAGCGAGTCCAGCCACCAGATCTTGGCGAAATAGCCCACGAGCGGAAAGAGGATGGAGAAGGTGTTGAAGACGACATCAGTCATAGCGTCTTGGGCCAGTGCCTGAACGGACGAGTTGCGGATGAGACGGCACCATAGCCAGCAGAGGCCTTTGATGACGACTGTAGCGGCCATGATGGCCACGGCGGGAATGGTCAATTGTACGATTGTGCGGTCGGGTCCAGTGAGTCGGGAAATGCCCTCGATGCCGACTTGGAAGAAGGAGGTCATCATGATGACGGAGAAGATGAGTACGCCGATGGGTTCGAGACGGCGGCGGCCGACTGGGTAGGCGTAGCGGTCTTGACGCGCGATCATCCAGGATGTGAACCACACGATGGCCGTGGAGAGGAAGTCGAGGGCTGCGTCGACCAAACTGGCCACTACGGAGAGGGACGAGGTGAGGACTGTGACGACGATCTTCATGATCAGGAGGGCTGTGTTTGCGCTGAGGTTGACGTAAAGCGCAAGCTTGACAATGGGGCTTTCTGTGTCCTCGTCTTCTTCCGGGACCCAGTCCTTCAGCTTGGAGTTTGCGACCTCCAAGTCCTCTTCGTCTTCTACAGCCTCGTCGTGTGCGAGAAGAGGTGTGTTTTCGTCTGCTTCGGGAACTTTGTAGAGGTTCTTTGGTGTGCGCTTGACCATGGGTTTTTGAGCGCCGTTGCCGTTGAGACTGCCTGACGAACCACTTCGCCCGTTCTCACTATAGTATCCGGGCGTGTTGGTGCCATTTGTACCAGCGGGGGTAACAGCGAGGGGAGAAGTCGAGGCCGAAGACTCTTCCCTGATGGTTGAGGGAATCTTGACGGCGCCAGATTCCATGTTCGTGTACTCTTGGATGAGGTTGTGCGGGAGGGAGGAGTCGAGTAGACGGTCGATGTACAGGTAGTGCTGCAGGAGCTGGTTGTTGCGCTCGTAGTATTCGCGGATGGGCTTCTTCATGCCCTTGAGCTCTTCCTCGGATTTGTAGTACTTCTCCCACTTGTACCGGGGATTGGAGTTGCCAATCAGCCGCTGGCTCCTCATCTGCGGCGTGTTGAGCACATGCGCGCCTATGCTGCTCCTCCGATCGGAGTCGCGGTCGTAAGGCATCACGAGCCCGTTCCTGTATGCCTCCAGGTCTTCATCGTCTGTGTCGCTGCCCCGGCGCTCACTGCTGCGTATAGTGGACGGTCGACGTGCGCTGTTGAGAAGCGAGGGGAGGTGGTGCCCGCGCGTAGATATCGCCGAAGCATCGTTCTGCAGCGGGAGGAAGAGCTTAGAGCTGGCCAGGCGCGGGAGGCTCGAGGAGCGTGGGACTGTCACCGGAGAGGGCGACTTGGGCGGTGGTGTGGAGCCATAGTCTGTCATGGCTGCGATTGGAATGCAGTCGCTAGAGAGGCGTGATTAGAGGGCCAATTGCTTCGAATCAAGTTCCTGCGCGTCGACGCGACAAAGACAATGAGCCAACCTGGTGTCGTTCTCTTATCGCTATGGCGCACCGCGATGGACTACGGGAAAAGACTTGAACGGGTAAATGCGCGCGTCAGCCAAACAGACGTGAGATGAAAAGCGCGGCGATGCGAAGAGTTAAAAAGAAGATGCCGTGAAGCACTTCAGCCGGTGTCAACGCCCAAGAGACATGACAAACCGTGGTACCGCCGACGCGTGCGCGAATGCGACGAGTAGGTTCGCCGAAACAAGAGGGTCCTGGTTCGGAGACGGGATCGACATTTCTGAGGCCCAGAATCCTTGCGCCTGCATCCACTTTAGCTGTGGCCATAGCGCCACACTAGCAATCTGGGGTCGAACAGCCGAGACATCGCTGCAAGATTTCGACTATAGTTTCGTGTCTTATGTTTCACGCAGTCACATTGAGCCCCTCTGGAACATTACTTTCATTCGCTTGTCATATGGAATCTCCCGTTGGGACCTGACTTCATGAAGTTGAGCCTTCTGGCCGTTCTGTGCCCATTTTTTGGCGGGGACCCACACTGACCGGCAGTCTCAAGTAATGTACTCATCCCCACGCCGGTACAGTAGCGTCGTTCCAGGTCTCAAACTCCTGTCTTGGCTGTCTATCATCTTCAAAGGTCGGCGCCAAATTTTGAACCCTTGACACGAATGTCTTGGTCATTCATCAGCTCTAGTCCGTACCTGGGTACCCCATGATGCCTTCTCCGCCTATCCCTCGCCAGGCTTTTTCGTTCTTCCTAGAGCATCTTGCGCGCACATCTCGATGAGCCCGGTGAAGATGTACGGCTGGTCGCGAATACGCTTTCGACATTGCTTAGCCTCTTGAACCAGATGCTCATGTAAGGTGCATGAATCGGGCACAGCGTCCTCCATCCAAAGCGGCAGACCCCCCGACGACATGTTATCCTTCAGCATCTGGTTTTGCACAACGATGACTTCAAAAGCAAACTCTTCATTCATCTCCATCATCGTACGTATCCTAGTAGCACTGCAGGTCTCAAGCTCCGGGAGCCAACAGTAGGCTGTGGATAGAACGAAGAGGCGAATGAACTTGGATGATGGTGGTAGATTTGCGTATGCAGAGTCCAACAATTCTCGATCAATGTCAGGCCACCAATTCCATGCATTTGACTGTGCGACCATGGCAGTCAAAACGTCGTCTCGTAGCTGGGGGACATTGTACTTGTCGGCAAAGATGTAGAGACGCAGGAAAGAAAGCAGTGACAGGCGCCATCCGTTGATCCATTCCGGATTTGTATGGTACACTGATTTGAGGCCGTCCCGCTCGTCGAGCTCGTCGAGTGCTGCTGTGGTATCTGGCAGAGTCTCTGCATCTGGGCTGCTGCTCGTGCGCTGCGGAAGCTGCTGCTCTGCAGAGCTTGTGGTAGTTTGTTCCACATTCTTCTTTGTTGAATTTTGGACAAGTATTTCAAGTTGTGGGAAAGCAGCGCCGTTTGACAGCTGACATTTTTGGCTGTGTACCCATTGTAGAAACATGCGGAACGTCTGCTCGGTGACGTCTGTCAGGGATATGGAGCGATCAGTAGCCTCCACGAAGGAACCCTCAAAAGCGCCGCGAAAGTAGGGTGAGACTGCAGATAATATATCGCGGTAGACGGTGATATCGACTGATACGTCTGCCTCTTCGACGCGTACGGTAACTGAGGCGAGATCCATGGCCCTGTCATGATTGTTAAGATTGTCTTGGATATCATGTTGATACGTCTTACAGGAAGTTGAGCGCCATTACCGCGACAGATTGCGACCGGGCACCACTGTGTGCGGCGGAGTCGAGATGCGCTATCTTGAGTGTGGGGTAGGTATGATGCTGTTAAGTGAGAGCGAGTGTGGAAATAGCGACGGCCTCGGGAGGAAGTTACCTGTTCCGTAGCGCCACGCCAAGAAGTGAGTTCACCGTAATGCTCCTAGACCAGCACCCTCAATGTTTTCCCCATAAGGTTCATGAATCACTGCGCGACAAGGATTGACCGAGCTTTCATCAGGCAGTGGATCATGCTCATCTGTCACAATTCGAATCCGTCGTTTGCTGCATCCTCATGAAGCAGCAGCACCCGGTCCTCTTCACTATTTGATGCTCCAGGACACCATACTCGGACTATGGCGTAAGAGCGTTCTTGTTCTAGGCTTCTCGGAAATTTAGAGTGATGGGACTCACCCACCATGTCAGAAACATCGAGCTCCTCTTCAACTTACGTTGGAATAATGCAGTGATATGTTGAAACAAGCATGTATATTCCACCTTGCCATAGTATTTGTGTCAACAAATTCTCCTCTTGAAAACCTCGTTCCACATCAGCACATATCGGAGATGTGATACCGTCTCCCGTCAATCCCTGAAACCCACTCTGTCTTCTCCGCCACCAATCTCGCCCCTTCTTCGTCGAGTAAACACTCCGTCCACTTAGATACAACCTCAGCCTCATCAAGCCATTGCTCCAATCTACCTTCAGCATCGGCCTTTTCGATCTCTTCTTTCGGTATACCCTCATCGGCCCAATACCAGCTGTAGTAGTCTTTTATCGCTAACGTGTCGTACACGATGGTGTCGAGCCACGCTCGCGTGGCGGCCACTTGGGCTATGTTCTTAGAGTCTTTTGCGTAGACTGCATAGCGTTTAGGAGGGGCGAGGTGTGCTTTAATCGCGCGGAGGCGACGAGTGGCTGTTGTTTGGGGAGGACGAGGAGATATTCCGAGGCGGTGTTTTGGTCTGAAAGTTCAAGCAGGGTGGCAGCTGCTGTTGCATGGGTGTCTTGTAATGCTGCATTTTCTACTCTCACTTAACGACATCTTCTGGAGGTATACGGTAACTATGGGCAGCCCTTGTACCTTTGGAATCTTTCGGTTCCACATTTGCGATACGGTTATGCGACCAAGTTTATGAGGTAGAAGCGAATATTGTGATAGAACGCCTGGCTGC